AAAAAAAAAGAGGGTTGCTAATGAATGACATAAGAATATACCTCAAGGATAGACCTTCACTAAAAATTACAGTGGTTGTTTCTATAAAGTATTTACCGTTTGAACTTACCTTATGCTCATATAAGGATAGGTAAAAAAAAACTGTAATGTTTTCTCAGAAAAGTGAATGAATATGATAATCATTTTATTGTCTTTATCCTATGGATTACTTTTGAAACAAATTATATCTTTAGATTATTTATTCTTCCTACACAGGAATATGCTTAAAGACAACTACAAGCAGATTTTTTTAATCTTGGGGCTGCTGCTGAATGATCTGCAAAGCTTCTGGATTGCATATACTTGAAAATCAACAATGACTTCCAAAAGACAATACAACTTGTATCCAAATAGGTCTTTGCAAAGGGAAAGCCACATTATCAACCTTAAATCAAGAAGAAGGGTCACCTTTTCATCCTCAGTTTGCCACTCGGAGAATAATATCACTAACAGGAAGCAAGAAAACCAAGAAGTAGCTCAAAACTGGACTCTCTCAATGCATAAAAATGCAGCCCAAATGTCTGAAGTGGAAATTTCTATTCCCCTTAGTCTACACAAATCCCTGACTGAATCTAAAGAGTCTTTGATTGGTTCAATCATAGAAGAATGTGGCAACGTCAACTTTCATTTTCCAAGTAACAAACAAGGCCCTCAAAAAGTCATTATAGAAGGCCCTGCAGAAAGTGTAGAAAAAGCCAAGAAAAAGCTTCTGCAACTTGCACAAGAAGAACAGCAACGAGCCAAAAGTTACTCTGTGGCTGTTCCTGTCCAGTCAAAATATCACCAATTTCTTATGAGTAAAAATGGAGGCAATCTTCATAAAATCTGTGAGAGAACTGGGGCACATATCATTTTTCCTACCTTTAAGAAAAAAGATCAAGAATCAATAACCATCATAGGGACAGAAGAGGCTGTTAAATATGTGAAAAGAAAGGTAGAGGTTTTATTGAAAGACTTGAAGGATGTGGTGGAGGATAGCATACTGATAAATCCTAAATTCCACAATTACTTTGTCATGCAAAGGGGACAGCTTTTACGAGAATTAATTAATGAATATGGTGGTGTGTTTATTACCTTTTCATACACAGGAAATCAGAGTACAAAAGTCACAATAAAAGGAGCAAAAGCTTGTGTTGAAGCAGCAAAGAAACATATTCAGGAGTTATTTGAGCCCTTAGGTTCCCGAGTCACAACACGGTACCATTTTCCCCGGAAACTCAATCCTTTTATCATGGGACCAATATGTTCTCAAATTCAACAGATTGCAAAAGACTGTAGGGTTCAAATCAAACTTCCAGACACAGAAAAGCCAGCTAGGAAGATACATACAGATGTTCAGGAAACTGGGAAAGCAAAGGGAGTAAAGAATACTAACAATCCTGCTTCAATTTCTCCAAAGAAAAGTGATTCCATGTATATCTCCAGCAAAGCAGAAAATTGTAAGGCCACCCAACCTCTGGAGCCCCTCATTCCTGTCACTGCTGAAGTCCATGTACCTTTTCATCTACATCATTACGTCATTGGGCACAAAGGAAGTGGCTTACGCAAGCTAATAAGGGAATTTGAAGTTCGTATTCAAGTATCACAACCTGGAGGAAAATTTCACATCATATCCATTATGGGCCTTGAAGCAAATGTAGAACAAGCCAAGATGAAATTGCAAAATCAAGTAAAAGCATTACAAAAGGAACTAGATGGTCAGACATTAAAAAATTGCAGGCAAACTTTCAGTTTAGATCCCAAATTTCATTCCAAGATCTTTGGTAATAAAGGCATATTTATTTCCCAGATTTGCACAGAATATAATGTCATTGTCCGTATTCCAAAGAAAGGAAACAATCCTATACAAGACCAAATTACCATTTGTGGCTCAAAAGATAACATCCTCGGTGCTCGAGATGCAATAATGAAAATGCTGCGTAAGATCGAAAAATCAGTTTCCAAAGAAATCCCATTGAACCATAAGGTTTGTGCCAATATTATTAGATTTGGTGGCAAATCTATTCATAAGATCATGGAACAATTCCAAGTAGACATTCGTTTTCCTTCAAAAGGAGACTGTAATAATTCTAGCATCATTGTGAGTGGATCATCTTGTAATGTACAAGAAGCAATTGACTATATCCTGAGTCTTGAGAAACATTTCCTGTCTGTTGGAAAGTGTGAACCTCCAGTGCAACATCAGAAGCATGGTAGTCTTAACAACACAGCTTCAAGAACATTTAAGGATATTGGTAAAAGAAATCTTTGTAATGCAAAATCCACCACATATTCTGTACATGTGGACAATTCTCAAGATTTTCCCAAACTGAAACATCAAATGCTTCCTAAGCCTCACCCCTGGAGACCATAACAACAAAGGTTAAAACTAATAAATGGAAATATTCCTACCCTGATTACCTGAGACTACTGTCAAATTTTTATTACAAAACTGAAGTATATATTGAGGGCCTAGCACAATTCTAACATCTTTGCCATCAGTACATCACTGTTTAGATATTACACAATGCTGCAATGAAAGTGAGGTACTTGATATTGAGTGTTTGAAATATATAGCAACTTAGTTATAATTTCCACCCAGGACTAGATCCTGAAACTTTTACACCAGTTTTCTTAAGGTAGTCCATATATAACACAGGTTTCGTAACTTCCACTGTAATTAGTACATCATTTTTCACTTTTACTATGAAGTTTAGCAACTGCCCCAAGGAAGCTACCTCTATATCTTTACTAAGACATACCATCTTTGCTTCTCAAATACACAATCAAATTTGCTCTTTTGGTTCTTCCATTACTTCTTATTCACTTTCTTAATGGAAAGCTATCCTCTTCACACATGTAATGATTTACAACAAATCAAATAATTGTGATCATTATGCTGTTAATGTGCTCTTGTAGTTCTTGTACATCAAAAACAGCATATTGGTGGTACTCCAGAGGACCATAAATGCTAACGACCATAATATTTCATTAATGGGGATGTTTTCTCTGATAATGGTGACAACATTGTAGCATGATAATTTTATGATTTTTTTAATATTCTAGAAACACCCTCTATAATTGAGAAAAAAATGAACCCAAGAACAGACTATGTTTTCATTTTTATTCCAGTGAAATCTCAGGCCTGGTAAGCTTTATATTAATTGTGGCAAATTTGTTTGGCTATTTTCTTTCAGTCTTTTTATGTCTTATTGTCAGTCATAACTAAAAGGGCTACTGCTATAGCTACAGCTGAAGTTTGATATCCAAATCCACATTCTCCAGTATTTTCCCTATTTCAATTGAGCTGATACCCCAAGTCTTGTTTTCTCAGGAATAACTTTAACCCACTGACTGTAGTTCTTCTTGTAGCATTCTTGTCCTCTCCAGATCCTTCTGTCCTTCCCACCCCCTCATTCTTCCATAGGACATCCCAAGCCCTGCCTAATGCTTGGCTGTGAGTCTCAGCATCTGATTCAATCAGCTGCTAGGTGGGGGCCTCTCAGAGGACAATTATGCTATTCCCAATCCCTTCCTCTCTCCTTCTTCTTGCTCTATGCATTTTTCCTGGTCCAATGAAAAGGGAGGTACTTCTCCCCTTGTATCTGACACTTGCCTATCAGGTCTAATCAGGACCGGTACTATTGTCTTCCTCTGTGAACTAGCAAGACTGCACTCATGGTGGATGGGGGGGGTGATCAGAGAACCTGCCACAGACTTCATGTCGGAGAAAGCCCCTGATCCCCTTACTAGGGACCCACTTGGAGACTGAGCTGCCATGAGCTACATCTGTGCAGGGGTTCTAGGTTATCTCCATGTATAGTCCCCACACCTGAGCATGGGTTTTTAGGTACTCTCCATATGTTGTCCTTGGTTGATGTACCATTCTCTGCAGGTCCCCCAGAGCTCAGTTTTTTGACTCTCTTGGTCTCCTTTTGGAGCTCCTGTTCCCTCCAGGTCTTTCTAATTTCCCACTTATTTCATAAAATTCCATGCACTTTGCCCAAAGTTTGGTTTTGAGTCTCAGCCTCTGCTTTGATACCTCGATCAGTAGAGTCAGAGGCCCTCTATGGAAGGCTATTGTCCTGGTCCCAGTCTTCTACTTCTGATGTCTAGGGAGTTTGCCATTCTGAATGAGGATTCAGCATCTTCCCTTGGGTTGCTTCCTGCTCCCACTTTCTTTTAGCTAGTCTTTTGTAAACTTTGGCCATAACATCCTTGATCACCCCTGAGTGGTCTACATAAAAACAGCATTCCTCCTTAAGGGCTGCACATAATTCACCCTGCTGTAAGAACAGCAAGTCGAGTCCCCACCTGTTCTGTAGAACAACTTCAGACAGGGAAGTTAGAGATTTCTGTAACTTGGTAATAGAATTTTCTATATTTTAATATCTTCATCAATAGCTACTCTAAGGCCATGGTAGCTCTTGTTCTGAAGTACCAGGGAGGATGCTCTGGATGTGCCAGCTATGCCTAGTTCCATCCTTAGGAACAAGGATATGGTGATTCCAGAAATAATTTCTCTCTTTTGTCTGTATAGACCATCATCCCAAATGTCTAATAATTCATTAGCAGGATGGTAGGTGATACGAGGAATTAGTTGGACCAGTACACAAGAGTCTTCCTTCAATACTTGAGAGTGTACACATGGAGTAAGCCCCGAGGAACAAGCCCACCAACCATTATCTGGTAGTAAATGGTACATAGATGTGCTTTCAGTGGTTTCCCAATTAGTAGAACATAGCCCAGCATGTGTTGGGGGAATTTTTCCCATACCTAGCCCAGACCCTGAAATGGACTGAAGAGTGAGTTTTGCTCCAGTCTGTTGCCAGCAACGTTGAGATGCCTCAGTGGTACTGGTTACCTTAGAACCAGAGGCATTAAAGGCTAGCCCTTCATAATAAGGGGAACATATCATAGCAAAGCCAGCAGGATCGAGTAACATTAGGGTCAGTTTGGTTCAGAACTGGAAAGGTATTTTGCATAACAGTCCAAAGCAGGTCTTTTGATTCTAGGAGACTTAACTCTGAGAAAGACCCTTTAGTGGGGATAGTGCCGGAAGCGGTATCAATAGGGGGAATAATGCTAGTTCATAACATCGGAGGAGCTGCCAGGACCTGGTTAGGGCCTATGGCCTTTGCCTTGATGGGCTGGAGAAGGAGCTTAACTTTAAATAATCCTCCATAATCACAAACAGTTGGATCATATAGTCTCAATCCCCATTGTTTTCCTCTTTCCCATCCCTCAGCAACCATTCCAGCCTCTGTGAATTTCAAGATCAGAGGGTCTTTACATCTCTTAACTGACTTGTCCCCACAATAACCATTCTGACACATGACCTGGGAGAAGGTCAAAAGATCTTTCCGACAGCCAGGGGACCAACATGGTTTTTTTTTTTTTTCCTTTCCATAGAAGGAAGGAAGACTGGGGGCTTCCATAGAAGGGAGCCCCCAGTCTCTATTGATGTCTTAGACAAGCTTATTTGCAGCCTCAAGATTTACTAATGTAGTCTTTAGCTCCTTCGTTTGGAGCTATCTGCAGGGCATAGGTAGAAAGTTCTGTAGATCCATCCTTTACCCAGCTGGTGTTCTTCCCAGAGGTCCTGGGAACCAAGTTCCAGGAGGAGTAATCTTGGAGAGAGAGCCTATAATATCCACATAATCGTTGTAGACCACCCAGGTAAGGTTAAGGGGGTGATGGGAGCTTAGGATAATTAAACCTGCCCCAAAGTAAATTAGCAAGATTTTAAAGAAATGTCCCATCATGATTTCTTTGTTTCTGTCCGATGGTCCCCGTCTGACCAACTTGACTTTCAGTGGATTACTGGTGAATTCCATCTTCCATGAGAGAGGGTCTGGGGATAGGTGGGCTGGCTTGGCTTGTGAGGCATGGACCCAGGAAGCAATGACATCCACTTTAATGGCTGTAGGTGTGGTCAGCAACACAATATATGGTCCTTTCCAGCAGGGCTCTAATGATTGAGCCCGATGTCAGCGGATGTACACAACATCGCCGATCTGGAAATGATGTGGAGTCTCAGGGGTTCCTAGGGCATAGAGAGCAGATAACTGAGACCAGATATCCCATTGTACAGTTTTCAAGGCCACAAGTAGAGCTACCACATCCCTGTCATGGAACTGGGATGGTTCCAGATATGGGCCAGAGGCCACCAGGGGTGTGGGGGAACTAAATAGAATTTCAAAGGGGATCAATCAGAGCTTATAGGGGGAGTTTCTAACTCTAAACAGGGCTAAGGGAAGGAGCACCACCCAGTCTGCTCCAGTCTCCGAGGTCAATTTAGTAAAGGTCTCTTTTAGGATTCTATTCATTCTTTCTACCTGTCCTGACCTCTGGGGACGATGAGCCCAATGAAGTTTCCACCCGGTCCCCAGTACTGTAGCCAAGCCCTGACTTACCTGAGAGATGAAAGCAGGGCCGTTGTCTGACCCAATTACCTGAGGGACTTCAATATCTAGGAAATATCTCTTTTAAAATCTTCTTAACTACAATTGCAGTGGTCTCCTGTTTGGTGGGTAAAGCTTCCACCCATCCAGCGAAAGTATCTATAAAGATTAGCAAATACTTGTAACCATATTTTCCTGGCTTTATCTCAGTAAAATCTACTTCCCAGATGACTCCTGACAGTGTTCCTCTGAGCTTTCTTCCTATCTTATTTCTAGTGTTACATGCATTGACTTGTTGACATACTTTACATTGTCCTATAACTGTATCTACCAGTCTTCTTAAATCCAAGACATATATCTGAGACCCTTTAACTGCTTCTGTTAGTTTCTGTTAGTTAGTTAGATGAGTCCATTGATGCATTTGCTGGATTAAGGCCATGGCTTGCCTTTTAGGGAGAATAGTTTCTCCTTTTGGGGTTTTCCAATGTCTGTCAGTTTGCAGGTAGTAGTTAGTGGGATAGTCCTTAATTTGGGCTTCCTCTTAAGCCACGTAGCTGAGGGGTGGCCAGCCCTTAGTCCAGTCCCAAGTGAAGGACGAAATTACTTTGGTTTGGACCAGAACAGTTCCCTGTAAGGCCACCTCTTTGGCCACCCAATCTGCCATGTTGTTCCCTATGGTGACTAGATTATCTGACTTTTGGTGGCCCAGACAATGTATAATACTAATTTTCTTAGGTAAATGGAGGGCTGATAGGAGGGCCAGGATTTCAGGCTTATTTTTAATGTCCTTCCCGTTAGAGGTTAAGAGGCCTCTCTGTTGGTAGATTGCCCCATGTACATGAGCAGTGGCAAGGCGTACCTGCTATCTGTGTAGACACTGATCTTTTTACCAGCTCTCAGTGTCAAGGCCTTCATGAGAGCAGTCAATTCAGCCTCTGTGCCAACATACTTGGGGGTAGTGCTTCTGCCC